CTCTTTGTTTTTTATAGCTTACATAGATAGTTACTGAGAGTTTGGAAATTATCTGAATGTTTCCCTAAAAAGAAAAGATGCAATAAAATAATGTTCACTTTGTATCTATGCAGATTTATAGCCACATTCATTGATAACTTCCACCAATCTGTTGAGTATATTCATAGAGAGGTAAGGCTAATCTCTTCCTGTAGATCAGCTTGACCACAGACTCAACTATCTTTGTTGGTGGTGCAGTGGAGTGAGACAAGCTTGGTGTGAATACAGTTCTGCAATTTACTAACTTTATGATTCCTGACACTGTTCTTAGTCTCTCAATTCCTGTTTTCTCAGCTGTACCACTGTGAATATCATTATAATGTCTCAATTCTAAGAAATGGATTTTAACACGTTTGACATTGGATCGAATGCTGTAATCAATGTGCGCTTTGTAATTTTCCCCCTCTTTTTTCCTTCCTCGACACTACCCAGAGTTGTTATAATCAGTGGTATCTTAGTACTGAAGAAATATAATAATATTTGCTTTACAGTTTTTTGAAAAGATTGGATAAAATATTTTACAGAAAGTGTTATTAACACTTGATAAGTGATCAGAAAATAGCAGCTACTGTTTTATTAATTATAAAAACCTGTATTGTTCTTAGAATAACAGAATGTGTAGAATATTTGTTATAAAAATACATTATTTATAGGTCAACCACTAATTCAAACATGTGTTACTTAAAAATTTCTTAACATTTGAGTTAGAGATGGCACAGGGATGGTAAATTTTATGTGCTAAGTGTAATATGTTGAAGATGACTGCCAGACATGTTTAGGAGCTTCTGAAGTGTAAACTAAGTAGAGCAGAAATCAATGTCAGGGTTGATTAGTAATGTCTTTCCCAGTCTTAGGAATCTAGTAAAACCGAGAGTCAACACACACACTGATATACACACATACCAAGCCAGTGGAAATGAGGGACTGAGTCTCTGCAACTACCTTGCACTAGCTCAGCTCTTGTTCAGCTAGTGCCTAAGTCTTGACTCCTGAGCCTTGAATGCCTTGTATTTGGCCTTTCTAAAGCTTTGCTGTTGGTGAACTTACCTGCTCCCTTGGTCTATTCTTGACTGTATCTTGTTCTTGTTCTCCTTTGTTGAGGGTAAAAAGTTCAAACACAGGGACCCTCTCTCAGAGAGGATAATAGTATTGGAAAGGGAGACTGTTCACTTTATTCTGAGGATCTCATCTAATTCTTAGCTTTTGTGATATTTATGAAATGAAGTTAATTATTAAAGACAAGTTGGTGAAGCTGTAAATGGAAAGCTACATACCATTTCTTGAAATATTCTGGTAGTCTCTGTGATTGCAGTGGTTTCTTTTCCGTAACTGCATGTAAATAGAGTTTTTAATTCTGCAACAAATATGTATGTACATTTGTTAATATCAGTGCATTCATGTGATAGAATTCAAATACATTTATTTTTATTGAAATTTGAAAAATATGGTGAAAATGACTCAGAAAATAAAAACTCTGCAGACATGCTTTCTCTAAACTGTCAAAGCATTATTGAGTTGTTATAAGAACAGTAAGAATATACCATACTGCATCAAAGTTGTAAGTCCAAAATTTTTCTTTTTTATTGAAGACTTCCTTTCTAATCTTTTAATGAAAAATACTGTAAACCTCTCAAGAAACTACCTGTTTTTATAAATTCAGTTACCGTGACCTGACCATGTTCTCTTCTTTTTGTTGTCATGAAGTGATGGTAGACTTTTTGTCCACTATAATGGAACTCTGACTAGGACCTAAGTGTGCTTAGAAGGATGACTGCATCTCTCAACTTCCTTTACAGTCACAAGTGGTCACTTTGCTAATTTCTGACAATGAAATACAGTAGAAGAATCCAGTGGCAAATTTTGGGAAATGTTTCTTAGGAAACAGTTGACAGGTGATACTTGTTCCTTTATTCTTTTTGTCTAATCTGCTGCTCAGAACAGGAATGCCACAATCTTGGACTAGCAGGAGTACTACATGGAGAAGGCAGAGGTGTACACAGGAAGGCCCCTGGATCCTTGAGGACCAGTGGACCTGAGATTCTATACCAGAGCTGGACTATACATCTCTGAACTTCTATACATTATATTATCTAAATCACCATTCACTGAATCTCTGTTACTTGTAGTTGAGTCTCATATTAATGGACACAGAGTGTAGAGGCAAATTTAAAATCAGTATCATCAGGCTGTAATTGGATAAATTTTAAGCAAGTTTCTTAACTCTTTGTCCCATCTTTGATTTTCTATCTTAATTTGTCAAGTTTAACTTAATTAAAAGATATGTCATGAGGGTATGTTTAGAGGCTTCCTAAAATTATTTTTGAAATATGACCAGGCATAAACTAATGAATAACAAACTCAGAAGTATCCAATTATCCCTCAAAGGTGTTACATCTTCTTTTCATTACAATGACGATATATTGCAAAACCTTATGGAAATGATCACTAAATTGAAAAGATATGTATATAAGTGTCACCCATACTAGAGTGCTTTCCAACTGCTTCAGTGCTTTAGAAAGGTGAGTATGTTCGGCACTTGCCCTGCACTGAAAGTGGCACTCTCAATAGAAAACCAAGATGTTTCAATAATATGTGATATGTTTTATTCTTATAGGATTTTGAGGTGAATGACTTCCATTAATTTTTAAAATTAAAGTTGTCCATGCATATAGTATAAATAAAAATCAAATTCCTTTACTTGAGGGATATTTATAGAGCCCTATTGTGTTCTAGGCACTGTCTTTGATACCTGAGACAAGCGATAAATGAAAAAAATAAAGATCCTTGTTCCTGTGCTACTGACATTCTAGCAGAAAAAAATTTACAAATCATCAGTAGGAAAATTACAGAGGATGACATGTCCAAACGATATTTAAAAAATGGAGGCAGAGCAACCAGGATTAAGTAGTCGGAATAAGCCTCACTGAAATGAGAATTTGAGCTGTGAGCCTGGTATTTCCAAATAATTTAAGTATTTAAGTCTCTAAGACTTGTGGTGATAAATAGCAATTTCTCACTCTTCCTCCCTCCCCATTTCTACATTACCGGAGGCAACTAATATCAATCTTAATTGGCTGAGTCAGTATTTTATTCCTAAATAACATATTTTTAAGGTTACGTCTCAATTTTTAGTCTTTTTCATTATCTATGCATTTTCCACTCTCAAGAGGAGGATTTAAGTTATTCACAATTTAAAAAAAACTATGGTTGCTTTTGCTTCCCTTCACAACTCTTTTACTTCCCTGGAGATAACAGCTGCCTTTTATCTCAATGCTTAATTTTCTAAGCATTTTTTCATCAATGCACCCTCAGATCATTTACAATTATTTGATGTCCTCTCAATATGCCCCCATATATCATACATTTTATTAATCGTGTCTTGTGGAAGTCTCTCCTGGAGCCTATTGATTTACTTTAAAAAATATGTTTATTGAGGTAACGTATATTTGCAATGCTTTATGTATTTTAGGTGTATAGATTTACATCTCTACAAATTGATGTTATCATAGCATGCTTACCACCAAGCACCAATAATTCTCCACTACAGACCAGGAGTCCCCTTCCTATTTTGTGCCCATCCCGTCCCCTTGATAACCTCAATTCTATGGTAAGATTTTATAGGTTTGCTTTCAACTGTCCTTTTATTTCTATATACTCAACGCATGAGAGAAATCATCTAATATTTGTCTTCCTCCTTCTGATTAATTTTTCTTAGCGTAATTGCTCCAGCTCTATCCATGTTGTTGCAAATGGCAGGAATATTGTTATAGGTGAGTACAGTCCACTGTGTGCACATATCACATCTTCTTATTTGCCTGTCAGTGAATATTGTTTTTATTCCCCATAATTTATTGTTTACAGTGCACTGGATAACATAGAGGAGGTTATGTCTCCTTTCAAATTAATGCTTTTGCATTCTTCTGACACATATCTTAGGGAGAGATTGCTGGGTCATATGGTAGATCTATTTTACATGTTCTTAGAAAGCCCCATACTATCCTCTATAGGGCTTACACCACTCTGCACTCCCACCAACAGTGCACAAGGGCTCCTTTTTGTCTACACCCTTGCCAACATTTTTTCTGTTTTTTTTTTTTTTTTCTGATATGTGCCATTCTCACAAGGGTGAGTTGGTATCTTGTTGATCAATGATGACGAGCAATTTTTCATATACCTGTAAGCAATTTATCTATCTTCTTTGGGGAAGAAGTGTCTATTTAGATCTTCTGCTCGTTTTTTGATTGCTTTGTTTTCTCATTGTTGAGTTGTATACATTTTTTTGGAGATTTTGAGTACTAGTCACTAACCAGATGATGTGAAAAATTTCCTTCCATGTGGTATGGGGGTCTTGTTTTAATGCTAGTTTCTTTCCCTGTATAGAAGTGTTTTAACTTCATATAGTTCCATATGTTTATTTTTTCTTTAGTTTCACTTGCCATTGCAGATGAGTTCCCAAAACCTTCCCCAAAGCCAAAGCTGTGAACCATTGCGCCTGTGTTTTCCTCTGTGTATGTTACGATCTCTGGTCTTAGCCCAGTCTTTGATTCATGATTAATTTTTATGTATGGCTGAGAAAGCAGTCTTATTTCATTCTTCTGCTTGTGGGTTTCCAATTTGCCCAAAACTATTTATTGAAAAAATTCTTGGAAAATCCCTGGTGGTGCAACAGGCTAAGGCACAGCACTATGAAGCTATTGCAGCCACTGCAGCACAAGTTCAATCCCTGGCCAGGTTGGTGACACATGGCGTGGCAGACCTCTCCTGACCCACCCACTGATCTCCTCAGTAGTTTACTTCATCAATCTGCCTTTTCTGCTCTCCACTCTGTCTCTGATGAATCCTCTCACCCCCTGTACCTCTGACTTGTACCCCAGTTCTGTATGCATAAATAAATAAATCTTTAAAAAAAAGAAAAATTCTTTAATTCTTGGTTGCTGGTGGTGGATGGTGGGTCCAGAAGCATAGCATACACCTTAAGTATAAATAAAATTAAGATTAATAAGACTTGTTAAAGAAAATCTTCAAGTAGAAAATAGTAGTAACCTTCTCTTATTCTCTGAGCTCACATAGTTTCATTTAAGTATCTTAATATATAAAGCTAGTCCTGACATACCCAGGATAGGAAACTTGCTTGGAAAATAATATTCTAAATATTTTTAGAGAAGAGATTTTTGGATTTGTAAACTACTATGTACTATGTGCTCCTTTTACTAATACTTCTACTAGATTTCTGGTATAGGCAAGTGTTTTGTTAAAAAAGAGGAACCCAAGACAAGATTAACATTATTTTTAATAAGTTACCAACAGATGGGAGGAGTTGTTCTCCAGGACCTCAGGGTTTGCCTCTTATTGACTGATATGGCAGACTAAAGATGATTTCATTGTTTTTGATACTCCCAACCTGAAATCTTGTCTGACCTGATTTTCCTGGTCAGTGCCATATGGTGGAAGTGACACTATGACAGTTGTGGCCTGACTTAAAAAGTGCTTAGTAACTGTGGTCTCTTGGAATGCTGATCCACCCTGCCAGGGACATTATGTAAAAATGCCCTACAATGGCAGCAAACAAGATGTCCTTCAGTAGGTGAATGGATGAATAAGCTGTGGTACATATGCATGATGGAATATTACTGTTCAGCAATAAAAAGAAATGAGCTACTAAGCCATGAAAAGACAAGAAAAAACTGAATAATAACATGTTGTAAAATGAAAAAAAAAAAAAAAGTTTTCCACACAAACCAAGGAGATAGTACAAAGGTTAGTGGTTGTCAGAGACTTGAAGAGATGGATGGAGTAGGTTTAATAGGGATTTCCTAAGGTTGTGAAACTAACCTATACTACACAGTGATGGTGGATACAGGTCAACTAGTTATGCATATGGGATTTCAAGTCCCATACATGTATAACACAAAGAATGAATAATAATGTGAACTATGAGCTTTGGTTAAGAATGATGCATCAGGTGGGCCCTCCCTGATGGATCAAAGGGTTGGGATGCAGCACTGCAAGCTGGCCGCAGCTGCTTCCGTGCCAAGTTTGACCTCAGGCCCCAGAGGTAATCCACATAGTACTGCAGACCTCTCCTGACCTATCCGCTACTCAACTCAGCAGTGTACTTTGTCGATCTGCCTGTTCTGTTCCCCACTTTGTCTCTGGTGAAGCCCCTCATCGCCTTGGCATCTCTGGCTGGTCCCCAGTTCTGTTTAAATAAATAATCTTAAAAAAAAAAAAAGAATAATGTATCAAGGCCCTTTCTGGTGGTGCAATGGGTTAAAGTGCAGCAATATGAAGCTAGCTGCAGCTGCTTCATAGGGAGTTCAAATGAGTTTGATCCCTGGCCAGGGAGGTGACCCA